CAAATTATTTTCATAATAGATAGATATAAGACATTACACCAATATATGGAAAGAGAGAGAATTTGAAGCACTATCAAAATATATGGTTACTTTTTTCAAAAAGGTAGCTCTATAGTGATGAAAAGCTTATTTTCATGACAGTAACAAAATCATGTCGGTGGGAATTTGAACATGAGGGTGTCTTCATTGTACTCAATTTATGATGGTAATGCATAAGTGCAAACTAAAACAAATATACAGGATGATAGAAAATCTTACAGGCTTTCAGAATATATCATTATTTTTTTAAAAATATCTTATTATAGAAAAGATTTTGTTAAAATACTGAGTGCAGTTTCTTTTTTCCGGAGGTATATATTCAAACTGTAAAAGAAGCCATCCGAAATGTCAATGCAAAACTTCAAAAAATAAGGTTATGGACCATCAAAAAGTTCAGTGTGGCGTATAAAAAATTTATTAAAATTAAAACGATGGAAACGACAAACAGTTCAAAAATGAACTACCAATCAAAAAATTGAATGAGTTACTATTGTGAAACGGTTACGGAAGAAATATGGTATCAAAAAAGGAAATAAACTTTATCAATAGATTCATGTTCTCCATACTGATTTTACTGATTCATCCACATTAACTCCTCAATACAATCAACACAATGAAGATGTTTGTGCTGAATCAATGTCTAATATTGCATATGAATTAAAATCAAAATCAAAAGAAAAATTCCAGAAAAATGTTATGTTGTGGGATGGTATTTCTTACCAAGGATTATTTCCTAAGAAATCTCCAATTTTTATTGATGAATGGTTAGAGCTGACCAGATCAGTAGATGATGATCGTCGTAAGAATATCTATTCTACTCGTGACAGGTATGCAAAATTTATTGGAATTATTCTAGTAGAAAAAGCGACTAAAGAATTAGGTGATTTACAAAATGTAATTTTTCAAGACGATCAAGGTCATAAACAAAGGATGCAGGTGTCCTTGGATGCTATTAAACATATTTTTATCAATCAAATTGAACCAATAGATTGTGATACAAAACTGGCCATCATTTGGCCTATAGAAAATGTTTAGAGTGTATGAAAAAATAGAAGTTACGAGGATGAGAATACCGTTATATTGAACAATTAAAAAATGACGTTAAAAAGGAATGACAAAAATTTAGTGTTTCTCTTTATGTCAATAAATTATGGATAAAATATCAGCGAGATTAAAATTAGTAATGGATCAAGGTGACAATCAAACACAGAAACACTGATAATTTGATTTGTGGTTTTTTATTTTTTAAAGTTGTATTATTTTAAAAATCATAACCAAGATGACGAGGAAAATTGAAAATATAATACATGAAAATGTTGTTACTGGTTTTCATCTATAATAAAAGTTATACGCCTCAAAGTTTATAGTTATGTAATACTTGACATGTATAATAATCTACCAAAGTTTTAGGAAGTTTGCTTTTGTTGAACACATGAACGATGAATTTCAAAATCGTTACAGAACTTTTGAGACACTCTTTATATTACATAAATATAGGCATTGTTCTTGAACGACAAGATGAACGTTTTTTCAATTTAAATAAAAATCTTGCTATTAAAGCAATGAAAAACAAGTATAAACTTATTTAATTAATATAGTATTTAATTACTTTATATATAAATATATATGTTAAGACTTTATCAAATACAATATGACGAACAACAAGAACGATTATTTCAAACACGTAAACAACAAACTGGTAGTGGAAATCGAAATGAAAA